TGAAGATCTGAAGACAAAATTGATATAAGCATAAAGATCTATTTGGAGTTCCTTCTTTTCCCACAGAAGACCTTGTACAAGAAAACAAAATTAGTACCTGCTTTGATCCCAATTGTTGTCGGCACATCTCCATTTAGGTGGAAGAAGAATATCAATTGGTAACCTTCTCCATTTAGAACAGCTATCACATTGAACCCACTGTTCTTGTGCCCTGAAAATAGAGCTTAGTAACACAAGATTAGGTGGATTAACCCTAGCAGTATGCAGGGGAATTTGTAAAGATACCATCAACCAGAGATAACAAAGATGTGGAATAAGTTGCATATATAATTTTAGAAAGATCCCTTCATTATCTTGAATAACATTACAAATTCAGGCAAAACTTTATGTTATTTGCTCATCTTTTTTCTTTCAACACTTTATAAAGATCTTCCATAACAAGACAAAATTGGGAGAAGGAAGTTAAAGCAACATGAATCTTGGAAAGCCATAAAGAGAAATATGTTGAAGGAACCCTATGCAACTAAATTAGATACCTGATACATTAGAGACATGTTAATGGAAAATCATTAAAAAAATAATGATAATAAGTTCAGGAAAATTTCATATTACTATGAAAATGAAAAAAAAGCACACCGACTATTTTCTTTTTATGTCCCGAAAACATGTCCACAATTTTCTAGGAAGTTCAATTATATTTCCGACAGGAACGTATTCCTCTGGACCTGCAAAATAACTCATCAACTAATTTGTTTTGGAATTTAAGACAAATTCCATTGCTAACACTGAAGAGAAAAGCACTGAAATGGAAGGATTATTCTACCAAGGAAATTAAGAACTACTTTCATGAAATTCTTTTTGTATCTAAGTGATAGATTAGTAGTTCCTAATCTAGCTTACTTTCAAGTTATGAATTAATATTGTGATGGGCATTTTATTTTTCCATGTCAGTTATATCATGTATGGTTGGTGCCTATATTAAAGGGTTGATTTAACACAGTATTATTCACGTTTATCACTGTTATTGATAAAATTTAGAATTTTGAATTGATTATTGAGATCCCAAATCTTAGTTTTTTGTTTCTTGTTTAAATTTTTCTTATCTCCCCTTTATCCTAGTCTTCCC